GGTGTATTCTTAATTGATCTATATTCTTAATTAAGCTTCTAATATTTAAATGCGCGATTTTAGAACCTCTTGTAGCAACTTTTCCTTTAGTAATACTGTTTGTATTATAATTTGATTTTTCATCATGCTTTTCTACTTCGTTATTGACATTTTTATCAACATTAAAACTACGCTCGATCGCATTGGAATGTCAGTTGTTTTCAACATTGTTTATGTAAGATAAAAAGTTTCTGGCCATTATCGACGTGCCTAATCTACTTAAATGAACCCCATAGGGATTCAAATGTTTAGTTTCAATGTTAGCATGGTCGATTACTTGGATATTTTTACTCTCACAGTAATCTATTAATGCCATGTTTACCTTTTCTATCTTTGTCTTGTATTCTGGTCTATCCGCTCTTGTAACCAGCAGTGACACAGCTACTTCAAAGGTCGGACTATCTTTCTGAATTATTTCGCATATGTCATTAATTCCTTTGACTAAATCTTTTGCTCTTTTGCTACCGATATCGTTTGTTCCCACATGTAATATTATTTTTTCCGGTTTTCTTTGCAAGCACGGTTTAATATGGTGCTTCATATCGTCAACGCCAGCTCCCCGATAAGTTTCTGCCCTTATTGCGGTTCTTCTAGAGATCTGACCATTTTTCTTAATTCCTCGAAGCAGTCGTTTACTATCTATATATTTTATCATTGAATCTCCGATTATAACTGTGCTTGCTTGGGTATTGCTCTTAAGTTTTCTTGTAGGAGCTGTTTCTCTTGTAATTTCGACCTCGTCACCCTCACTTTCTTCGATAGTCAACGGGGCATATTGGTTTGAGTTTAACACTGGATTTGTGGTATGGCTTTTCGTAATTACCGATGCTGCTTGTCTCTTCGTAGCTCTGGATGGTGCTTTCGTGTCTTTTTTATTTTTATTCATCTGAACTTTGGACCATGCGTTTCGATCGTCGCCAGTGTCCGGGCAAGTATCATTACGATCCGAGTGGAGCAAACGTATGGCAGTTAGAAGACTGGCTTTTTCGTCTTCCACAGCCTTAATTTTGCTTTTCAAATCGTCTGCCGCATTTTCGTACTTATTTAGGCGTTCATTCAAGTGAACGTTTGTCGACTTTAATCGTTCATTTTCTTCTTGCAATCTGCGGATATCTAGATCTTTCTGCTCGTCTGGGTTGTTTCCTGATTCATTGGTTGCGACATCTACATCTTGCGTATAGGCTTCAAACTTTTATTCAAAACAACTGAATTTTGTACTCAGACTTTGGACAATAGTGATCAGTGAATCGAGACGATCACTCTCATTATTATTCCGCATCGAAGGAATATTTTCTGTTGCTTTGTCAAAATAGTCCTTTGACGAAGCTTTTGAGTTGTTTGATTCATATAACGGTTTCGTTTTAACCATAGCCGCTAATTTATCTTTAATCAGATTTCCTTCTTTTCCATTGAATGTTAATGTTGATTGTTTACCGTACCAAGTCATCTCGAATCTGCCGTTTATACTTGTAAAGCGCTTTGCTTCTCCCCCAGGCGATGTCCATTTACCTTGTTCATGAAGCGATTTTTGAACAAAGTCCTTTAATGTTTGTAGTGTGCCTTTCCATAACAACCGTTCGCCATTTAACTGGAGCGGTTCGATAAATTGTGAATGTGAGCATGAGCCTGATTTTGATTTGCTTTGATCGTGATTCGTATCGTTGTTGTCGGTGTAAAAAGATTCGTAATCATCCGTTTGGGTAAATTCGCTAAAGCTTATACTATTATCGTTGGTAAATTCGGATAAACTTTTAGCCAATATTTGGCTTGGACTAGCAGAGCAATCTTGAACACGTCCACACTCCATAGTCATGTTTAGGTTTTCATGTTTTTAACAACACGACAATTCGCATAAAACTCGACTCCGGAGCCGAGACAAACGTTCTAACAAAGAAAGATTTCGAAGCCGCTGTTCCAAAACGACAACGTCGTAGCAAGCTCAAAACGAGCGCCGCAAAACTGACCGCTTTCGGGGGCCATAACATTCCTGTCATCGGAAAATGCTATTTAAAGTGTCAATACAAAGGAGCGACTGAAGTACTCGAGTTTCAAGTGGTCGAGACGGGCAAATCCTTGCTCGGATGTAGAAACTGTAAAAGTATGAAACTTATAACCTTTCATAACGTAGACCAGCTGCGCAACAAGCCAATTAACGACGCGTCACCTCAAAGTTCACTAAACGGACTTACAAGTGAACAGATATTCGAGAAATATTCCAAATGCTTTGACGGATTAGGACGCATATCAGACCCTTATCACATTAAGATTAACTCTGACGCAACGCCTGTTGTTCATCCACCTCGTAAGCTTCCTTCAGCGTTGAGAGATCGAGTCCAGAACGAACTACAAGAAATGGAATCCAGGGGAATCATTAAGAAAGTCAACGAGCCCACGGCATGGGTAAACTCCATGGTAGTTAACGAGAAACGCTCGGGAAAATTACGCATATGCATCGATCCACGAGATCTCAACAAAGCTCTGCGTAGAGAGCATTACCAACTCCCCACACAGCAGGAGATAACAAGCCGCCTGACAGACGCCAAATTCTTCAGTAAACAGGATGCGAACACTCTGGATTTTGGCAAATGCCACTTGACGAAGAGAGCTCTTATTTGACGACATTTAATACGCCATTTGGTCGCTATCGCTTTACTGTGATACCATTTGGTGTCGTGTTTGCACAAGAGGTGTTTCATAAAACTGTCAACGAGAAATTTCATGATTTACCCGGATGCGAGACGGACATCGATGATATTTTGATTTGGGGACGAATACTGGAAGAACATGATCAAAACCTTGAACGGGTCCTCAATCGAGTGACAGAAAGACAAATGTCAGTTTCGACAAACCAAGGTCACCTATCTGGGAGAAACGCTTACGGCAAATGGTGTCAAGCCTGACGAGACCAAAGTTGAAGCAATCAAGAATTACCCCAAACCTACGAACAAGCATGACGTTCAACGACTGTTAGGCATGGTCAATTTTATCGCCAAGTTTGCACCGAACATTTCAGACGTCACCGCACCTCTGAGAGAACTCGTCAAGAAGAACGTTGCCTTCCACTGGCTCGAAACACACGAGAAAGCGTTCCGAGATCTACAGCATTTACTAACTGACCCTGCTACTCTGCGTTACTACGATGTAGCAAAACCAGTGACACTCCAAGTCGACGCTTCACAAAACGGTCTTGGAGCTGCTCTAATCCAAAACCAAGGTCCAGTAGCTTACGCATGGAAAGCCATGAACGACACACAACGACGCTACGCACAGATCGAAAAGGAACTGCTGGCTGTTGTTTTCGCCTGCACAAGATTCCATCAGTACGTTTATGGTAAAACCATTACTGTCGAAAGTGACCACAAACCTCTGGAAGCTATTCTCAAAAAACCCTTGTCACAAGCACCGAGTCGCCTCCAGAAAATGTTAATGCAGCTACAAGCCTACGACATCAACTTGGTTTACAAGAAAGGAAGTGAAATGTACATCGCTGATGCGCTGTCACGTGCATTTCCTCCTGAGATAATACCAGAGCAATTTGAAGAAGACATAGCTTCGGAGCGATTCATCCATCTGATGTCATCCGAGTCTTACGTCACTGACCGGAAACTCCAAGCCATCAAAGATGAAATCCATACAAACGAAACAATGCAAGTTTTGGTCAAACAGATACAAGATGGATGGCCAGATCATAAGATACTGGTTCCAAGTGAAGTACAACCGTACTACCCATATCGCCAAGAACTGACAACCGAAGGCCCATAACATCCTCATTCCACCATCATTGCGAGCTGACACCCTCCAAAAACTCCACCAATCACACCAAGGAATTGAGAAGACAAAGAGATGGCTAGGGAGAGCATATTCTGGCCAGGTATGAATTCCCAGATTGAAGAATTAGTGTCGAACAGTTCCACATCTCTTCATCACGCTAGTGCCAACCAACGAAAACCACTTCATCCACATGAAATTCCCAGTCGACCCTGGCAAAAAGTCGGCACTGATCTTTTTGACTGGAATGGAAAACCGCATCTAATAGTCGTTGACTATTACAGCCAATACCCCGAAGTTTCTGAACTTCGAAACACGAAAGCACGGACAGTCATCAACAAGACAAAGTCCATATTCAGTCGACACGGAATCCCAGAAAGTGTAGTCTCCGATAACGGCCCACAGTACTCATCCGAAGAGTACAAACAGTTCGCTAACGACTACAACTTCATCCATAACACTATCGGCCCGAGATACCCCCAGTCTGGTGGTCTACATGAAAAGACAGTCCAAACAGTCAAGAACCTTCTTGAAAAATGCAAAGTCGCCAATCAAGACCCATATCTCGCGTTGTTAGATTACCGCAACACCCCTATAGATGGCGTCACCCCAGCACAAGCCCTAATTAGCAGACGACTCCGCTCACCCCTTCCCATATCCCAAAGAAATCTTAATCCAAAACCTGTCAACAGAACCACTTTCCACGCAGCACGTCAACAACAGCAACAACAACAGAGAAAACACTATGACCGCACTGCTAAGTGTCTGCCACCATTAGAAAAAGGTGATACAGTGAGATTTAAGAAAGATCCTCAAGCAGCATGGACCCGTGGGACGGCGATACGAAAGCACGAAGCACCACGAAGCTACGTAATAAAGGGTGAGAACGGGACGGAATATCGACGGAATCGCAGACATCTACGAAAGACTAGAGAACATCAAGCTGACCTAGACACACCGGATATTGACGATCCCCAAGACCCGATCCCACAACCAACAACCAATGCAGAAAGAAACAACATCCAAATCCCAATAGCGCCAAACCTACCCCAACTGAAGACAAGCCGTTATGGCAGACGGATAAACCAGAATCCGAACTACAAGACGTGAACATATGGAGCATGATTGCCATATTGTTTGAATACGTTTACTTAAATATTGAATCGAACACGTAATCCAAAGATAGACTTGATTCTTAAATAATTCATTTTACGTTATATATAATTTGGTAATAATTACTTTTAATTTAGAAAAAGGGGGATGTAATATATGCTCATATATAGTAGCTATATATATATATATATATATATATATATATATATATATATATATATATATATATATATATATATATATATATATATATATATATATATATACATCAATTAGGTTGATTGACAGTTCACATCATAATCACTAGCACATGTGATTGTAATAGGAACCTCAAGGACTCGCTAGAACACCTAGACATAATCAGACGTGTATCTTTTACTTATGAATAAATCTTCTATAAGCACATAGAAGCATTACAAGCTGCAGGAAGTTAAGGGATTTTGTATATAGTTTAATTTAATGTAATTACATATGCAGGCACGGACACGAAATTTTAACGCTCTCACGGACACGCCATGGACAAAATAAAATTAAGCGCGCGCACGGACACGAATTAGTTTACTTAGTTTGAAGCGCAAGTCAGCCATTATACGCAATCCTAACGGATTTTGTCTAAATTTGTAATTGTTTTTAAAGTTTTATATCTTTAGTTACTTTTTAACCTGAAAATGGAGTTATACTCCGAAACGTAGTTATTAAAATAATCTTTTTGTACTGAGCCTATATGGTCTAATTTATTCAAACACAGAATTACTAAAATGCGGCTTAGAGAAAGTTCCGTCATACAAGATTTGAATATGCCCAATGTTAAGAGTGACATTTGTGGGAGGACCAGGATTAGTTTCGACATTACCAGAGAGTAAAATTAATTGACTAAATAGTACGATTATAGCGTAATTATGCGTCCACACAATAGATTGATTAACGACAACACACATGAATTGAACACCTTATAACATATACAAACCATTTTCCCATTAAATAACCCGACAGCTGCTCCGTAGACTTCCAAGCTAACCCCCATTTAATAGTTGAAATGAGGTAAGTACCTCAAGCTGCCAAGAAGTCGTACTAAACAAAATATGAAATAAATAAGTATATAGTATTACTATATAATATGGAATTTAGCACTCAAACTATCAAGAAAGTAATAATAGTACAATTATATACTGTGTTATAATGTGTTTGCAAGCAATTAATTATCCCTTAATCATTAACATCATCTTTGGTTTTAGCTCTAACAATACGCCCACTTTGTTGTTTTATCAAAACTTTTCCATCCGTTGACCAGACGGGAAGGTCTTTCAGATTAGTATGTGCATAATTAAACAATTCTTTATTAAAAAATTTCAGATCTTCATTGACATATATTGAAGTTCCCTTGAGATTTTTTTTGCACTTCATGACTTTAATCTAAACCTAAACTTTAGCGGCAATTTATCAGCCTGGTGAGCTCCGTTTTCTGTGCGAAGGACTGCATGCAACAGATCAATGACAGTACACCGTTCTGGATAAAATAATGGCAATGTGCAGGAGCACAATGCCGATTTAATGATTAACACAAAAATAACAAATTACAGATAAATGTTACAAATTTAGTATTCATGGCACAGAAAAGGTGGGGTGTTAAAAAACGCCACAAGCCGACTATAAGGAGGCACCCCACCCCATCAGGCAGAGAAATCGCCGCCAGAACCGATAGACTAAATTGATATAAATCGGGAAAGCAAGGCAAACGGCCACTCATGATATCCAAAATAATCAGCGAAGTCGCATAAGAATGTAACCTAAAATACCAAAAGTAATCTTAAGGCCCGCGATGAAACCCGAGGGTTCTACCATCTTAACAACCTGGTCTATATGGAGAACAGATAGAGAACGAGAGAAAACTGTAATTTCGCAAATGCGCATAAACGCAAAAAAATGCAATAGGGCACATAGCCGTAAAGAGATGCGTCTCGTAAGCACTCGAACACAGCGCGGGAACCTGCCTCAGAATATTCCGAAGAATAGACAAAGTAATAGGCAATCGAGTATCAATTCGCGCTCCTAACTTTTTATAGCCTTTCAGCATTTCTAACACCCAAAAAACCTTCGTGGGGTCTGGGTACCCGGCCAGGCGATGGCTATAGCCAAGAGCAGATACGTATGTGAGGGCTGTAGATGATGCATACTGATTTTGAAACATGTAGGCGATAAATAAACTTAAATCCGTAGGTGTAAGCGGAAGTGAAACCACTGTTTTAGCAACCCACTCAAGAGCAGTGCTAAACATTTCGAATGTGCGGCAGGAAGATGCACACCCCATGGGCATGGCTTTATCATAATAATACTTTCCCTGCCACATGATACCTAACAGAGGGTAATCCGCTGGACGAATGGGAATAATGCGAAAAGCACTTTTATGTCCGTTTTAGCTAAAAAACAGCCTCTACCTAATTTTTTTTATAATGGCAATTGCATCATCCACACGACTATAAGAAACAGTAGTGTGTTCAGGCGAAATGCCATCATTGATGGACGCCCCTCGTGGAAAGGATAAGTGGTGAATAAGCCGAAACTCGCCTGGAACCTTCTTAGGCACAACCCCCAAAGGAGAAACACGGAAATTGAAAAAGGGGGGGTGCGAAAAAGGGCCTACAATGCGACCTGCCACAATTTCTTTCGCAAGTTTAGCACTGACAACTCCAGGGTTTTGATTTGCCGAAATTAAGTTTTTAGAACAAAAAGAGGTGTGACCACCTTCAAAGTGAAGAGGAAACCCATAGGTAAAACCCTCAAACAACATTAAAACAACTTTGACAACATATCCTTGTAACAAAGGCAAAAGGCGATCAATTTTTATTGGGGTTGGAAGTGCGCACACCTGCTGCTGGTTTTGTAATGGTGGTTCTGCCTGAGGGACGAAAATTACAGCTTTTAGCGGAGTGCGCAGCTCCACACTTAAAACAAGTATGCTTGTAAGAACAACCTGTGCACTTAACCCCCTTGTGGAATGCACGGCAGAAATTGGGACAAATGGACCCAACTGCGAGGTACGACCAGAAGGCTGTGCAATATTTGGCCGAGCTGGAGCAATATGTGCAAAACTCTGTGCACGAATCCACAACTCAAATTAATGAGTTGTGCCCCAAGGCATTTCATGTGCTCTTGTTTGTCGTAGCGATCGAAACTGAGTGTCATAAAATCTCCAATTCGCTCCTCCTGCAGCCAAATCTCGCACAACCTCCGCATATTTCATTAAATCGGGAGCCTCTTGAGGAAAATTCAAAGACAGAACATGACTGTAAAACCAATACAGAAATAACACAACATATAACTGGACAGATTTACCATCTATGCCAAGCCACTTGTTTCATGAATGGCTACCTCCGAGCTGAATATAATTGCTGAATGCTCAACAGGGGTCACAACAGCCATAACCATGTGTGCAAACCCAAATATTCATAGATCCCTTGGGCCCAGGGTGATAAACCTGTCATCAAGGAAGGCTATTCAAAGATGGCAACAAACTTTTTTGAACAAATCAGCATAGAACAATCAATATGTATAGTATAACAAGTACATAATATGGCCATAAAGTCATCAAACTTAATATTTATAAGTATTGGCCAAAATTTAATACCAAAATTAGGAAAACAATGCAAAAAACTTGTAGTTGGGAAAAGCTGGTAAATTCCCGTGCATGACACATTAACGTAAAAGCGAGAGAGCCTTCAAGATCGCTCCTCGATAGCTTTTATATAAGCTAAACTGTCCGTGGGGGTTAGCGTGCACCCCATCTAAGGACAGCAAATTTTTGCCAGCTTTACAAAATGCGCGATGTTCCCACAAGAAAACACCAGGCATATTGTCCAGTTCGACAGATAAATACTGTCTCAAAAGTGCCGCCTTAGTATTAAATACCGTGTCAGGCGTTTGTGAATGCGGTAAACAACGGTCAATCACCAGACACAAAGCGACAACGCTAACACGCAAATTATACCGTAACAGTGAAACTAAATCCTCCAAACGTGATCCCACCGCCTCCGGAGACAAAAAGGATAAGTCATTAGTGCCCAATTCCAAAATAATAATGTCCGAATGTTGACTCTTAAGAAAAGGCAAGTCGTATTGAAAGACCTTGTCAACCGTACGACCGCCTATGCCGTGCAAATAAACGGCTCGGGTGTTACGTTTCCACTTTTCATGGTTGCATCATCCAAATATCGATCTGATGTACTGTATCTATTGCGAGCGTCAAGTTTGTGGCAGCAATGTTCTTGCGATAGTAACTACTAGTTTATATATTTTTCTCAGTCTTGTACTCACCTCCTTGACAAGTAATCTTGTATTGATATCTGGAATATCTTTAATACATATATGAGGTACGGCATCTTTTAGATCTTCAGAGACAATATACTTTGCAAGAGCTCGAGACATTCCAGGAAAACCAATGTGACCATGCAGGAAGGCAAATGCAATTAACTGACCAGCATATACAAACAGCTTACTTTGAACATGTTCCTCACAGTGAATTGGCAACAGATGATTGGCTTGACCTTCAAATAATATATAGTCTTTATTTCCTTCTCTTAGGCCTTTGACAATCATGTATGCCAACTCTTTTGTTAAACCTTTTGCATCAATTCCTTCTTCTCCAACAAACGTTACATCAGGCTGTTCGCAAAGCTGTAGTTCTCCTCTCTTAAGTTTTTTAAAGAGGTTGCGAATGAGAGCAAGTGACTTTCGGTCAATAATTAGTTCTGGTCTGTTTGAACTCACTAGTTAATTATATTTCGTCTATACATTGAACATGCTTCATGTGTAGGCATTTGCACAGTATTTAGAGGGTAAGCAACTAAAAAGAAAATAACAAGATACAATTGTGTTTAAGGTGGCTCGATATAGTTATCACAAAAACCCTGCTCAAGAATCGCGAACTCAAAACCGGGTGACCATCTTTACGCGCAGGTCGCGGAAACTGATTAACAAAATCAAAGAACTTCCAAAATGACCTGACGTGAGCAGTTGCTCGCGCCATATCACGCCGTTGCGCTTGTTCTATAGCGTTTTATGTCAATTGCTGACGTCATTAGAATTTTCCATTTTAGAAAAACGATGCGTTATATCTCTTTATTTTGTCTGGTGACCTATGTTCAAATTTTGCATGCTGTATTGCACCGCTAAAAACTTTCATTATACAAAAAATAAAAAAATTCTGTAATGCAAAAAAAATTTTACCGAAGAATATGACATTTTTGCATTTTTCAAAAAAATGGCATTACAGAATTTTTTTATATTTTGCTAATTGTTAGCTTTTCGTCCAAGTAAAATAATGCACGAAAAAAAATTGGGGGTCACCATGCTTTTTTTCCAACTATACGAGACGATAGGCCATTTTGGAGTGAATTTCGTACACGTATGTCGTCATAGCAACGAACTATCTGTTACTAAAACTAATATAATTTGAAAGTAGAGTTATCAAAATATATAAAAAACCTAATATCTGCTGAATAAATCCTAAAAATGCGTAGTTTGAACGTGTCAAAGTATTAAACACCTGAATTTTTGAAAACTGTATCGAGCCACCTTAATGATATGAATGAGGTGAATAAGATGCTTGTAATGTTACTCTGAGTGTATACCCACACCAGGCAGGCTTGAAAAATATGCCTGGCAAAGGTGGGAATCGAACCTACGATATTTGGAATACTAGCCCAATGCTCTACCAACTCAGCTACGCGGCAGAGCGTTGGGCTAGTACTCCTAAGGTCGTTGGTTCGATTCCCACCGTGGCCAGGCATATATTTCAAGCCTGCCCGGTGTGGATATACACTCAGAGTAACATCACAAGCAAATTGTGTTTAACTTGCCTTAAACCGAAGTAATTGAAAAGAAGAATTATGCAGACACTCAAAAGTTTACGTAAACATTAACAAATACAGTATTAGGTCATAGGTAGCAATTTGCAAGACCATGAAAACTGCATGCATGCGAGCTACATTATTATCTCCATTAATCCTGAGAAAACAAGCATTACACGTCTGTATTTCTTCGTAGTTCGAACGCCATATTGCCGAATATAAACATCCACTTGATGAATTAATTTTTCATATTTCACTCTATTTCCAACGACCAATCAAATCACTTCTGCCTCGGCTTGTCCCAGGGCTTACGGCAACGCAGGCAGCTGAGAAGCCCTGGGAACGAGGATGGGAATTGAAGCTTTTCCTGACTGAAAAGTTTGCAAATTGCGCGGGGAAGATTTTGAAAATATTCTAGTAAATATATAGGAAGCATCAAAAGTGCGCGCGATACAAACTTTCCACACTGGATATTTCACCTTTTTACTTTAATTATATTAAGTATACTGTTATTAACATGAAACTGGGTTTTCGTATCTCAGAGGATGGTTCTGAAATACGGTTATTAAAATAATATAAAGTGTGTTACAATGATAACTAAATTGTTTTACATATATCTACTGATCTACACTACTGTATAACTTATGTACTATCCTATTAATATTTCCACTGCACAAATGAACACTTGAAAACACCACGTGTTATCAAGCGAACAAATATGCGAATGAAGGTTTAAGGTCTTGTCATTTTGAAAAATAGAAGACTATTCCCTGTGCAAAAACGAGCAAAACTTACATTATATACAAGAACTTCTTTATTTTTAAATGTCAGGATAAAATGGTCGTCTTCAGAATGTCTTTCAGCGCCGATAAGTCCAGCTCCGTTCGGAATTTTATACAATTCGAAACCTTCGCCAAAAGTCACCATATTGGAAGGGCGGTGAATACGGGTATACAAATCCGCCGATCCACCCAGATCTGAAGCAAAATCCGCGGTCCGACAATGGTCTTGTCTAAATTTGAGTCCGCTAAAAGCTTTACGTACTATGAAGTAACAATCCAGGATCCGAACTAAATTGCAAGCAAAATCCACAATCCGAGCCAAATTATTAGATAAATCCGCAATCCGTTGTATTAATAAGCTCCGCAAATCCGTGTAAAATATTCGCCAGATCCGAAATTCGAACAAACTTTTCTGTGAAATCCGACGATCCGAAAACCTATTCAGTCCCCCCTTGGAAATTCAGAATATCTTATAAATAGAAGATACTTTATATGACATTCACTGAAGAGTTCTATATTCAACAGTGGCAATATTGCGCATGTGCAAGAGTTTATTCATTTTGTAATAGAAGAAATGAAATTTCGAGTGGAATTTTTATATATTTACTAGACCTAACCGGGAGCAGATTATCGACTCTAATTTAGTGTGCAAGAACCTTTCTTCAGCCAATCTCGTTCTCAGAGATATGCCCGTTCGCAGGTTAGGAACCAACAGGCCTAACATTAGCCTGCGCGCAGTAGCCTAACCTGCGAATGGCCAAACTCTGCATTGGAGCGAGTCTCTTCCGCCCAACCAGTGAGCCCTCTGAGCTATATTCGGGTGGGATTATATTCGGAGGTTAGCCGCATTCCTGAAAGAAATGGGTTATGTTGACAATTTTCGTACAACTACTTTTCAGATAACATCGCTTCATGTCAGAAATCCCGTTGCAAGTTGCAACAAAATGCCTGGTATACCATTTTTCATGTCCTTCAGATTGCTGTCTAGCTATAGAACTGACGTTCCATGCAAACGAATTAGTATTTTGAAAGTTCTTGTCCTGCAGGGAGGGTAATTTTATTGTTCACACTAAATGAAACAGATTTTCAGTTTAATTTCGGTTCTTCAACTGCGGATCAACGCAACTTGTTTGCGATTAAAAGATTTTTAAAATGCTCACCAAGTGAGCTAGCTTGAAAACAAAGCTTGTGGGTCATATCATGCACGGTACGTGACTGTAAATTTGCCGAATTTTGTGGCGACGGTTTTTGAACTTTTATAAGAAGTATTATTCCCCAAACTGCTATTTTAAAAATGTTCGTGACATGTATCTCAACAGGTGAAAAAAGCTGTCAACAAAATATGAATATTTTAGCCCAAAAAACAATTGTTGAATAAGACATATATATATACTTGAATTATTTGAATGTTTTGTTAATTCATTAACACTTGGTCTTGGTTGCCGGCGACACAATATCATCAGAGCTATTGAAAGATGAGTAGAAATACCCAAAACGTCTTATATTGAAGGGACAAGGTGTTAGAACATACATATACAGTAAAAGCTCACGAAATTTCTTATGTGTGCCCGGAAATATAACCAATAAAAAACTCCAAAATAGACGTTGCGAATTGCTCTCTCCACCGCGAGCTCCATTTCATCTGTTGGCTGTTAATTGCGGACGCCATGCATGAATAACTTCAAGAAATCAAAGTGCATATGCATATTTTAATATTTCGCTTGATTGACATACATATGCTCTAATTTTGCACATTGCATAATAAAACAGAAACTTCTTCAATATCAATATAAAATTCTGTATTTCAAAAAAAATTTAATTTGAAGAAAACGAAGTTTTTGCTATAGTATTTTTTTTCTGCATATAAATATCGAAAAACGTGTATGCATGCATGGAAAAAATTGTTAGTTACCATTTTTGTTTTCCAGCGACACGACGCACTTGGTAGGCTAATTTTCATCCCTGGCAATTTTTCCTTGCAAAGAAGTCTTGTTCCAATGCTAGTCATTCCAGCTTAGTTTTGGACAAGGAAAAGTTGTTCGTGTGTACCGACGCCAAGGAAAACTAGACAAGTGTACAGGAAATATTCTATGGTTTTGGCAACCAAGATTAGGCGGCCTTGACGTCAGATAAATATTTATTAACATTCTGTGCATGCACGAGTACTGTAAAGGCCCATATACACGATACGACTAGTCGTATACGATTCTTATCCTGGCGTATGAAAACGATTTCTGACGCCACTATTCCTGTTCATCAGTTTATGGCGAAGTTTGAAATTTGACATCTTTACACGCATTTATTCGAGTACATACGCCAGGATAAGAATAGTTGAAGAACCAGCTAGTAGATGGGCCTTAACCAAACATGTCAAGGCAAACTTGTCAAAGAAAATTTGTTGGCAAAATTTGTCAAAGAACTTGTCCTGGTCTGTACAAGGCTCAAGTGTTACGAAAATTAATTTGGAAGACGAAACATTTCAATGCGTGTACATGCCATAATTTTAAAAATATGTAAAACCTAATTCACCAGGCCCTGCAGTACGAAACGTGAAAATACGAAATTTAAGAATATCAAATTATTCGACCTGCATTTTCAATATCAGTAACGAGCCTCCTAATTATTAGCATTTTGAGTGTATGAAGTGTATGACTGGTGGAACAGC